GCTGCATCCTCATTTGGATGGACTTTGCACTACAACAATCATTTGCAACTGGGTTTTCCTGAGTGGACAGGACAGTTCAGCTGCAAATCCCTCCAACAGTGCCATGACAGCACAATATGCAATGGTGTGTGAATGCAGCCAAAGACAGAGGTGGTCATGGGACCAGTGTCACCACTGCACTAGCAAGGAAACCTCTGAGGAACATAAAATATAAATGTGGGCCTGTGAGGCTCATATGCATTGGAGGGGGGAAGATCCCATCTTCTCCCCACTTTCTCACCAAGTTTTTCCACAGCTGCCACCAGGCGTGCTGTGCATCCTGGAATCCACCGAAACCACCAACAATGACACTGGAGGTAGGTGCATTCTCTGTGCAAGCGCTTTGATTTTTGGGGCAGTGGATTTCATGCTTCTTTTTTTTAACATTTCAGATTTTTCCAGAAACCTTGGGAGTCCTCCAAGTTTCCTGAAAAACCTGGTCAGCATCAGTGTGGCCCCGATTCATTTAGATATCCACAGAGGCCAGGCTTCACTATTACATATATAGGTGGCCCCTGAGAAATGAGACCCAAATAAGTAAGTTTTGCAGCTGCTATCTTTATTTGTGCTTTAGAACAATATCACAGAAGGGAACACAGCTGGCAGAAGAGTGCTGCTCAACAACGACTCCAGGTAGGAGAATGGTTTTCCAACTGTGCCCTAGAAGAACCCGAAGGGCCAAAACAGAGATGAAGGAGACCAAGAATCCCCATCAGTCTGTTAAATGTAAATTGTGCATCCAAGTGGCTGTAAATCCCCTTGGAATCACGTGGGAAGGAAAGACCCTTCAAGCCCTGCATGGCTTCACTAATTACAGCTGGGTACTCCACACTATCACCAGAAGTCTGAAGAAAAATTAAAGACCACACAAGGGTCCTTGGAAACTTGACAGAGTTGAACACGTGAAGCTGCCTCACACTTGGTTGGTCCCTCAAAGCCAGTATTGTCTACTTTACATATAGAGATGGCCCCTGAGAAATGAGACCCAAATAAGTAAGTTTTGTAGCTGCTATCTTTATTTGTGCTTTAGAACAATATCACAGAAGGGAACACAGCTGGCAGAAGAGTGCTGCTCAACAACGACTCCAGGTAGGAGAATGGTTTTCAAACTGTGCCCTAGAAGAACCTGAAGGGCCAAAACAGAGATGAAGGAGACCAAGAATCCCCATCAGTCTGTTAAATGTAAATTGTGCATCCAAGTGGCTGTAAATCCCCTTGGAATCACGTGGGAAGGAAAGACCCTTCAAGCCCTGCATGGCTTCATTAATTACAGCTGGGTATCCCACACTATCTCCACTGAGCCACAGCCACTCTGAGGTTAGAAACAGCACGCAATTTAAGAAAGCCTGACCACTACCACTGACCTTATTGCCTTGTTCAGCCACAGGAGCACATTAAGGGTGTTTTAGAGCACACTCATTGTATGCAGGGCAATGACGGAGCCTCAAAGACCTGGTCAACACATTCTGAACTGTGCACCCTAGCACATGCTCTATATAGACACATAGATTCTGCTGCAGACGGAGGTGGCAGCTTCGTAAGTACAACTACCTCTCTTGCATATGCTTGGAATGGGAAGGAGTGAGTCAGTGGAAGAAAAGATAACATTTGCTTGGAATAAGATCTGATCTGGGTTATTCAAGTTTCCCTCTTGACGTCATTTAAAAGACACCAGGTGTCAACTTCTGCCTAGGGAGCAAAATTATAAAGGCAGATAAAAAGGAGCGGGGTGTGTGTGGGGGAGAGAAGATGGTAGAAGGAAGGAAGGGATGGAGACATGAAAGATAGTGGCAACAGGAAAGCAAAATCTACTGATCGTGACAAGAGGGCAGAGGATGTATGGGAACAGGGAGGAGAAAGACTTCGGGGAGGTTAACAGAGCAAGATCAGTTAACAAGATATATCATGTGACAAGGGAATCTCACTGGAGCAGTGGGAATATTGCCTTTGTATGTGGAGGTCTGTGGTTTGTTATTCTTATTGGTGTATATGAGAGTAATACTATCACTGGCACATGCAAGGGGTCTATGTGACTATCTGTCTGCTTCACCGTGGGGAGGGCAGGACATTTATACAAACCGCCAACCTAAAACATTTGTTCTCCTTCAATAGGAAATTGGTTCTTGCAGCCTAACCCACTTTAGATGCTTACTGGGACAGGTCCACCTCTCTGCTACCTACTGCAACATGGAAGGGCTATGGAGGAGCCAGTATGGTGTAGTAGTTAAGAGCACGGACTCTAATCTGGGAGAACCGGGTTTGATTCCCCACTCCTCCTCCACATGCAGCCAGCTGGGTGACTTTGGGTCAGTCACAAGTTCTCTCAGAGCTGTTCTCTCAAGGGTAGTTCTCTCAGAGCTCTCTCAGCCCCACCTACCTCACAGGGTGTATGTTGTGGGAGGGGAAGGGAAAGGAGATAGTAAGCTACTTTGAGACTCTGAGTGAAGGGTGGGGTATAAATCCAATCTTCTTCTATAGCTCAGTGGCTGACCACCAAATATAAGGTCCCAGGTCCAGTTCCTGGCACTTCTAGGTTACAAGAACTAAGTGATCTGAAAGATCTCTACCAAAGAATCTGGGGAGCTCAGTGGCTGAGCACCAAATAGAAGGTCCCAGGTCCAGTTCCTGGCACCTCTAGGTTACAAGAACGAAGTGATCTCAAAGATCTCTACCAAAGAATCTGGGGAGCCATAGCCATTCAGGATAGACTGTACTGACCGTGACAGATCAGTGGTCTGTCTCAGTGTAAGGCAGGCTCATATTTGCGCAGAGCCCTGTAGGCTGGCAAGCCAGATTCACACTTTTGCTTGGGGAACCAGACTAACTGGACCTCTCTCTCTAGGCGGGCCTTTAAATGGAGTGACCATTTCGCACATTATAATGAGCACATGGTGGCCGGCAGAAGATGGCACCTGCTCCTGAGCTATGGGAATTGAAACCATGCCCAGTAAGCATCTGAAACAGGCTTCGGTCTTCCAGTGTAGACCCAGCTGCTCTAAAATGTTATGTTGGCAGCATTCCTCGTGGGCAAATGCTCCTCAGGGCGGGGCTGAAGATAATGCTTTGAAGAAGCCTGAGATGTTCTAACAAAATGGGGTCTACCCTCAAGACTCTTGAAGGAGCCACAAAAGTAGCACAGCTACCATTTTAACACGCCCAAAGACATAGGACAAGCCTAATCAGGTCTACTCAGAAGTAAACCCCATTTTAGTCCACAGTGCTTACTCCCAGGAAAGCATTCTTAGGATTTCAGTCATCCTTCTGTAGCTATACTTTTCTGCACCAACTGCTGCATGGGTTACAACTACCTCCAAGAAAAGTAGTCCTTTTAGCACTTATTTTTTATCAAATTAACCTGAATGACTACACAACCCCTTACAATTCTGCTGGGAAAAAGCCTCATCCCTCAAGTGTGCTAATCACATCTTTTGCTCTATGCACGATGGCACGATTTTCAATAGGACATGATCTTTCTCCACCGGTGTTCCTTCTATTCTAGGTCTAGAGGAGAACCCTTCCCTGTCCAGGCATACTTTCTCCGGTTATGATTTTCTGCTAAAACCACCCTTGTTATTTCCACCATCAAGCTTTTGGGAAGGCTCTGAATCATGCATGAACAAAGCAGCATGCCCCAGTTACCCTAGCAAAGAGACCAACACATTTGCTCCTGCTAAAGCGAGCAGTAACAGTGGACCGGTACTCAATCATCCTGGCACCTGGGCGCTCATCCCCAAATGGGTCAAGCCTGCTACAGGTTGTCGTGGCTCCTGCCAGCGGCTTCAGGTTCAGGTCCACATCATCCATCTTTTATACAAGGAGCAAAGCAAGCACCTTTTTTGAACTGTAAACCCTCTGCATGCAATGGCAGAAAGGTGGCACATAAATATATCATATAAACTCTCCCCCCCCAAAAAAAGAGTCCAACCCCCTTTTGGCACTACAACTTGCCTTTACCCGGCCAGGGACATGTCTGTTACTTTGGGGAGGGCTATCGTGACAGAACTACTGGCAGGTTTAGTTGACCACACGTCGTGGTAGACTACCAAGGAAAAAAATTGATTCATTTGAAATGTGGTATTGGAGGCGTTTGTTTTTTTTTAACAGATACCATGGACCGCCAAAACAACAAATAAGTGGCTTCCAGATCAAATCAAGTCTGAACTCTCCCTAGATGCTAAAATGATCAAACTGAGGCTAACATGCTTTGGTCACATTATGAGAAGACAAGAGTCACTGGAAAAGACAATAATGCTAGAAAAAGTTGGAGGCAGCGGGAAAAGAGGAATCATAGAATCACATAGTTGGAAGGGGCCACACAGGACATTTGTCCAGCCACTGCTTAAAGACTGCCAGGGGGGGGGAGCTCACCACCTCCCTAGGCAGCCGATTCCACTGTTGCACAACTCCTCCTATAAAAAAGTTTTTCCTAATATCCAGCCGGTACCTTCCTACACTTAATTTAAACCCATTACTGTAAGTCCTCTCCTCCGCTGCCAACAGGAACAGCACCCTGCCTTCCTCTAAGTGACAGACATTCAAATACTCAGTCATGTCCCTCCTCAATCTCCTCTTCTCCAGACTAAACATTCCCAAGTCCCTCAGCCTTTCCACACAGGGCTTGGTCTCAGCGTAAGTCTTGGGTGGTAGGTGGGGTGAATGACCTCTGGGAAGATCCAGCATGAGAAGGATTGACTCCATCAAGGAAGCCACAGTCCTCAGTTTGCAAGATGTGAGCAAAGCTGTTAACAATAGGATGCTTTTGGAGGTCATTCATTCATACAGTCACCATACGTCAGAAGCAACCTCACAGCATATCACTCACTCACTTACTCTCTCACACACACAGGCCAGCCACTCTGAATTTTGCTTCAGAGTTCTCAAATTTTCTTCTCACTATTCCCCTCCTCCAAGCATACCAAGAAAATTAGTCCCCAGGAGCATCTCCCACATTACGGATTTACCTGTGGAATGCCTGCCCAGCTTCAACATGCGGAGAGCCCTCAGTAGCCTCAACACTTGCACAATGCGCCCCATGTTTTCCAGTTCCTGGGAGCTCCCTCCTCCAGACAAGCTCTCCACCAGCAGTGTTATATAGAAGGGCAAAATGGCCAGAAGGTCTATGATGTTTGCCACGTTCCTCATGAAGCCACACCTGTTCCGTGCGCACAGGATGCGCAAGGCAAACTCCCCCGTGAACCAGGTGATACACACATACTCCAGGATGTCTAGCAGCTGCGGTGGCAGCCAGCTCAGTTCCACCGAGATCAAAGCCATGTTGGCGATGGAAATGATCACAAAAGCCATAGAGATGGTGCCAAAAGTTCGGGCAGCTACAGAGGAGCCAGGTTTCTCCAGCACCTCCCAAACCTTCTGCCTGACACAAGAGCAGAAGCTCCCAGAGAAGTCCTCTTCCTCAACGTGGGCATCCAGGTCCTCAGTATCTTTCTTGATATCTAAGTCTTCGCTCCGTTCCTTCCGCCTGAAGTACCTGTCCAAAAACACCATATCACAAATATATGTGTTACACTACTACAGCCCCACACCATTTTATTTATTTAGGAACACATGCTTCCTGTCCAGAGAACTTGCTTGAGGCTGTTCATAAAGGAAAACAAAAAACTCCACCATTAATAAAACCTGGTCGCATGATCACTACAGCATAGAACACTTAGCAATTTAAACAGATTATCTTAGAAGAGTCCTCAGGCTAGAAGCGGATGGTATTTTGAAAGATCAGGCCACAGTTAAACAGTGTGGGTAAAAAGAAATATTTTGGTTTGGGACCTAAAAACAGAGGAGGTCAAGTGGCAGGTGAGGAAAGGTCTTCCACAGACAAGGTGCCACCACTAAACATCTCTGCCTTTGGCAGGCAGGGGCACAACAAAACGTGCTTGTGAGGAGAACCTTATTTGGTCACAGTCACAGAGGAGGCGGTCCTTCAAGTACCCTGCCCCCAAGGCATTCAGAGCTCTAAAAGTTAAGAACCAGAACTCGGAACATCTGAAAAAATTACATCCCAGAGCTGTAGAAGAATAGCTTTTTAAAATCCGTTTTTTCTCTACCTTAAGGAGCCTCAAAGTGACTTACAATCACATTCCCTTCCTCTCCCCACAACAGGCACCTTGTAAGGTAGGTGGGGCTGAGAGAGTTCTAAGAAAACTGTGACTGGCCCAAGGTAAACAGCAGGCTTCATGTGGAGAAGTGGGGAACCAAACCTGGTTCTCCAGGTTAGAGTCGACTGCTCTTAACCACTACACCACACATATAGCCACCTAGATGTCTGGAGAAGGACACTGTGGCCTCTGCTACCAGCCAGATGTTCAAAGTGAAGACCATCATCTCAATGGCCTCAGTCTGGCCCCAACCATCAACCAGAGAATGGGAGGGACCATGGCTCAGTGGCAGAGCTTCTTCTGCTTGGCATGCCAAAGGACCCATGTTGGCATCTTCAGTTACAGGATCTGTCAGTAGGTGACGTGAAAGACCTCTGCCTGAAACCCTGGAGAGCCTCTACCAGTCTGAGGAGACAGTACTGACTTTGATGGATGAAAGGTCTGATTCAGCATAAGGCAGTTTCATCTGTCCAAGAATGACGAGCCACGTGTAAGTTTACTTATCTAGTGGCCATCCCCATACTGGCTCTTGACTTCATCCTCCTCCAATGCAGATCATCACCAGATTCAACCACCACTATGGTTCTCCTGATGCCTCCTTCTCCATGCTGTTGGGTCTTCTCCTAGTGCCTACCAACCCACCGTATCTCCTTTATCCCCTTCCCATCTGTGTCCCCTTCTCCTGCAGCTATGCATTTAAGCCACCCTACAATCTCCTAACATCTCAGAAGCGACGCAGGGTCAGCCCTGGTTAGTGCTCAGGATGGGAGACCACCAAGGAAAGCCAGGGCTGCTGTGCAGAGGCGGGGGCAACAGCAAACCACCTCTGTCCATCTACAGGGTGGCCGTAAGTCAGCTGTGACTTGACAGCTCTTTACACACGGTTCACGCACACACGCAGACTCAATTTCTGCCCAGTGACCATCGAGCGCCCCACCTGTCCCGGCAACAAGAGTCAATGCTGAGCTCATCCAGCCCCCAATACTGGATCTCCTGCAGAAACGAAAGCGCGCACAGCTGATCCATGACGTGCAGCCGGCCAGTCTGATAATAATTGTGGATGTAACGGAATGCCTGAGAACTCCGGTCGAAGAAATACTCGTTCTCCACCAAGTTGGCATCGTCGCAAAGATCCAGGAGGCCAGAGGCGGCACCCCGGGCAGCCGATACCACCACCGCCAGCTTGCCAAGACGAGTGTCTGGGTAGCAGCACAGCTTCTGCTGGGATAGCACAAAGCGGGCGCCTCCCACGTTGACGGTGATGCGGTCCAAGGCTGGGGCCACCTGCCGCAGTAAGGACACGGGCTCCTCCTCACTGCAGAAGACGCTGGATTCGAAAGAGCCCAAGGACGTGCTCTCGCCCAGCTCCTCTGCAGACACCCCGGAAGAAAGGGACAGACAGCATGGAGGAGACTTCATCCTTCAGCTGCCAACAGCAGCTTCTGCTCTCCTAGGAGAGGGAGAGAAAAAAATTAAACAAGCATGCCGAAACTGAACAGTATGTTCCGGGGCAACAAGGCTACACAGCTGCCTCTTGAATTCCAAGCATCTTGAAACGAGGACAAAAATATTTGCGATCCCTCTGATAGTTCTAAGATCAGGGGTTCCAGGTATTCAGTTCATTCACCATTTAACTGCCCAAGCTTAAACACACAGATCGGAGAATCCTCACCAGGGTAGCTTTCATTTCAAAATAGACCCCCCCCCCAGTCTTTATGGTTGTGGAAATACCTCTTTAAAAGGAGATGCAAGGGAGGATTTGGAATTGTCCAGGGTGCTATGTTCTATGTATCTCTATTTCTCTCCCCTAGTTACTAGACCTAGAATGAAAAGCTGCGGCATTATTTCAGATTTCCAAAATGTCTCTGGATGCCAAATCTGGATTTCCTTGGCACAAAACCTAGAACTGTATTTTGGCATACAGTCTTCAGAAGGGCTACCTTTCATATCTGATATCATCGAGAAATTTGCAACACTGGCAATGCAGTTTTACAAAGAGTTACTCCACTCTAAGCCTATTGACTTCAGTGGGCTCAAGAATGGAACAACGGCACAATACTGCAGGGCAAATCATTTTACATTAAGGATTTCATTTATTTATGCTATTTATAGTCATGGTGTAACTCAAAAACAATCAACAGCATGGGACATCCAAGAAAGGAAAAGGTATGTCTAGATTTTGTCGGAGGAAAGCTAATAATGGATTTGTGTTAGACCAGTGTGATATACTGGGTAGAAAACTGGACCAGCAAAACACAGGTTCAAACCCTCACTCTACCATAAAACTCATTGGGTGGCCTTAAGCCAATCACCATCTTTCAGCCAGTTTGGGGGGGGGGAGTCTTGTGTACCATTTTGCTATATTTACTGTATTTTGGACTATGGTATTTTAAGTTAATGAGATTTAAACTCAGGACTCCCTGCCCCAAACACTCTTTTTACTACATACAATATTAAAACAATCTGGCACCAAGGAATTAAAGTATGTCACCTGGTGACTGTTTCCCCTAAGAATTAACATAGAGGCATCCTGGTTAACAGAAAATTTGATACTGTTTTTTGCAGAAGCGCTTCATACAGTACAACTACTGGAGAAAATCACAACCTGTGACTTTTAGCATCGACCATTCCCCCAAAGCTAAGCAACTTCTTAAACTGCTAAACAAAAAGACAGCTCATAAACTGCTGGATCTGTTTTCTGCACAGTTAAAAAGGCACAGGCCTAGACTCTAGTTACAAGATAACTAATACGCATTCTTTTTCAATCTACTTCATCATTTGATCTCTAAACCCCTTGTTTAGTTAACAAGATTGGCACCTCTAAAACTCCTTTATTTTAATGAATCACCCTCCTTTGCGTCTTTTTTTTTTGCAGTTGATTTTTCTGGCTTTTAAACGTGTCCAGCTGCCCCGGATATTAAACCCTTTAACGTGATCATAATAATTTAAGTACTATTTCCCATCCACCAGCCCATTCATCAACAAACCACTAGGATTCATCCAGTTCGGGATCTTTTTTTTCGCACGTAAATTAGAGAGGTTGAACCGGGGGTGGGGACGGCAAAGTTGCTTTGATTTTTTTTAACCTACTCTCTGTTTAAAATAAAAATAACGAAAAACACGAACAGCTACGCTGGCTCAGATCCACCACGCCAACGGCGATTGCCACTGAAAGCAAAGCAGAATGATAAAGGCATGAACAACCATTAAAATAGGAATGATTCCTATTATAATATGGAAGCGCCGTATTAGAATAAGTCAACGGGGGAGGAACCCTGGAACTCTACAAAAATTGACTTTTACCTCCCATCGAGGTTCAGAGCCGCGCCTCACCCGCTGACCTGTCGCTCCGCCGGCCGGCCCCGGCACTGCTGGACTGCAGCTGCCGCCCCGGCGAGAGAGTCCTCCCAGGCTGGACCCCGCTTCTGGCGGGCGCGCCGCGTGGCTCATCACACTCGCCCCGCCGGCTTCCAACTTCTGAGCAGCGCCGCGACCGAGCCCCTTCGCTGGTCACATGGGCGGGCGGGGGAACAAATCAGACCGCGGCGACCAGGAGAGCCATGCCCGGGAAGGGGGAGGGCGAAGGTGTTGCCAAACAAGCGCGAGTGTTTGGAATGACTTGGTGGACCAGGAGCCGGGTGGGAGGAGAGGCGGAAGAAGAGAGCCTTCCTTATGCTACCGATTGCAAAAGCTACGCCGCGTTGAAACTACCGAAGAGGAGGCTGACACGCCTCTGTTTGCGTGCCGCCAGCTTTGTGTAAAGCCGTCGTATAAAATACTCAGAAACAGTGTTCCCTCTGAGCTGAGTTAGTGTGAGCTAGCTCACAATGTTTTAGCCCCTGGCTCACACATTTCTGACTGCCCATAGGGAATAATGGAGAGGTCGCTTGCCCATATGGGATAATGGAGTACAGACTTGCCAATAGAGAATCCATAACGCCAATAGAGAATCCATGACTGCCCATAAGGAATAATGGAGATGACACTTGCCCAAAAGGGATAATGGAGTACATAATTGCCAATAGAGAATCCTTGATTGTTTCATAGGGAGATAATTGCCAACAGAGAAGCCATGATTGCCCAAAGGCGATATTGCCCAGAGGTCATTCTGGTTCCCCCAGCTCTCGTTAGGGGCTCTTAAAAAAGTTATGGCCGCTGTTGCTGGAAGGGGCGTGGGGAAACGTTCCCCCGCCTCCCTGAGCCCCGGGATGGTGGCGTTGGACTCGTTAGGGGCTCTTTAAAAAGTTATGGCTGCCGTTGTTGTCGGCTGTGGTGGCGGGGGGGAAACATCCCCCCGCCTCCCTGAGCTACGGGGTGGTGGCCTTGGACTCGTAGGGGCAAATTCCACCTCTCGCGTGTGATGTCTGAGCTGTGTTTCCATCACACGCGAGAGGTCACTCTGGCTCCCCCAGCTCTCGTTAGGGGCTCTTTAAAGAGTTATGGCCACCGTTGCTGTCGGCGGCTGCTGCGGCAGCGGGGAGGGGCACCTCCCTGAGCCCCGGGGTGGTGGCCTTGGACTCATAGGGGCAAATTCCACCTCTTGCGTGTGGGCTCTTTAAAAAGTTATGGCTGCCATTGCTGTCAACAGAAAAGGTCTGATTTGTTTGCCACCCGCTCATGTGACCAGCGAAGATGCTCTTTAAAAAATTATGGCCGCCGTTGCTGTCGGTGACTATGTTCCCCTGCCTCCCTGATCCCCGGGATGGTGGCCTTGGACTCGTAGGGGCAAATTCCACCTCTTGTGTTTGATGTCCGAGCATTGCTGCTTGGACATCACACGCGAGAGGTCATTCTGGCTTCCCCAGCTCTCGTTAGGGGCTCTTTAGAAAGTTATGGCCACTGCCGCTGTCGGTGGCAGCTGCAACGGCTGTGGGGGGTGGGCACGAAACATTCCCACCTCCCTGAGCCGTGGTGGAATTTGCCCCTAGGAGTCCAAGGCCACCACCCCGGGCCTCAGGGAGGCGTGGGAACGTTTCGCGCCCACCCCTGGTGGCCATTGCGGCTGCTGTCGCCAGCAGCCATAACTTTTTAAAGAGCCCCTAACGAGAGCTGGGGGAACCAGAATGACCTCTGGGCAATCATGCATTCTCTATTGGCATTCATGTATTGCCTATGGGCAATCGCTGTCCACTCATGTATTCCCTATGGGCAATCACTTGTCCTTAGTTTTAGTACGTCCCGGCTAAATTGCATCATTTCCAGGGCTTCGGAGTGCAACCCAGAAATTAATGCAAAAAGCGTGCAGTTACCAGACCAATAAGCTCCACCCGCTCTTAATGACTGCAGCTTCTGATTGCCATTCTTTCTGATGACGATTGAATGAACGGGAGCTCTGCGAGCGTCGGGCAAACAGACGGCGAAAGGGTCGCGTTGTTGTAGCGGAACGGGAAAGAGAAGGGGCGGCGGTCATGCGAGGTCTTCATTTCAGTTCCTTTTGCACTATAGGCGGAGTGAGTGGCTTTGAGCCAAGTCATCCTCTCTCCCTGCTGTCCCTTATCTGCGATATGGGATTTATAGCACTGGCCTACCTTACAGGGTTGATTTAAGCATCTCAATAAAATGATTTTTGTAAGGCACACTAGAAGTGCTTTATAAGTACTGTTGTGTTTATGGGCCAGTAGTATCCATACCCCTGCCCTGAAAGGGGGAAGTTTTATTATTATTATCATCTGTGGGACAAAAACAATTTGTTGATCTTTTCAGTGCCAGATATTTTCCCCCCAGAGGGTAGTCATGTTGGTCTGCAGTAGAACAATTACACTGAGGCCCAATAGTACCTTAGAGACTGATAAGATTTTTGAGGTGTAAGCTTTTAAGAGATTCAAAGCTCCCTTTGTTGAGCTTTGACTCTGAAAAGCTCTTACCCTGAAAATATTCCAGGTAGATTGATTCAGGTGTCGTCTGAAGCAGCATTACCCTTTCTTTCTCTGTCCTGACTCTAATTGGCCCTTCCTAGCAACTAACCCCCTTCTTCCTATATGTAATGGTTGAGGAAATTCTGTTTCGCTGTATCTGAAGAAGTGTGCTTGTACACGAAAGCGTCTACCTTGAATTAAACTTCGTTGGTCTTAAAGGTGCCCCTGGGCCCAAAATTTTCCCTGAAAATCTTGTTGGTCTGGAAGCTCCTAGTGGACTCGAATCTAGATTTTTAAAGAATCTTGTTTGTTTAAAACCTTTCTGTCCTGCCTTATATCCTTGGACACAAGGAGACAGGTAAGCTGCTGGTACCCTGTTCCCTTTTCAAAAAACAAACCAAACCCCAATCCCTCCGTCATCTAAATCCCATGGCATCCATACCTGACAGTGTCACAGAACAAATTCAAGGGCAGCTGGCTTGAGTTTTTCTGTTTCCCCTTCAGAGTGATTTCCTTTTTACTCTCAGGTGTCCTCGGAGTCACAAGCAGCAGGGTTCTCCTCTTAACAGCCTCTGGAGAGGAAGGAGCATCAGCTGCTGAGATGCTTACAACTCACCGGGAGACTCAGAAACATCTGCTGCTCCTTTTCATTTATGCACAGGACAGATGGTTCAGCCATTCCTAAAGCATCCACTTTGTAGGTCTAAACAAATTTCTTCCCTTCAGTAACTCAGTAGGGAAATGCACAGATTGATCTCTTGTCCGTCTCGTTGCTTCCGGTATGAAAAACCAGGATGTCACGGCCTGCGATATTCAAAATGGGAGCGGAATATTGCAAACAGCAAAGTGGTTGGTCAGAGAAATGCTTTGGCTAACCAAATGGTGGGTTGTATATATATATATATATATATTTTGGAATCTGTTCTTAAGGCCACAATTTGATTGCACCATTAAAACAAAGCGAATGAGAGGAATAATTTTAGAATCTCTTTTCGGCGTTGGAGACTATGGTCTGAAGCATGAAGTAGGCCAGCTAGACCTGAGTCCAGGAGCACCTGAGAGACCCACAAGATGTTCGGGGTATCAGCTTTCGAGAGGCAAAGCTCCCTTCATCAGGACGAGGCGTCTGACAAAGGGAGCCCTGATTGAAAGCTCGTACCTGGAAAGCCTCGTTGGTCTCCAAAGTGCTCCTGGACTCGCAGGGCCGGCTCACTCACTAGGTGAACTAGGTGATCGCCTAGAGCGGGCTGGCCCTTAGGGGCGCCAAACTGCACCTGGCCCCATACTCTGGAAGTTTCTTGATTATTTGTGTTTTTCATTCTTCTTAAAATGCATTTATTTTTGAAAAATGGTGGGCACACGGGGGGGGGTGTGTGTGCCAGAAGGGATCCTCGCCTAGGGTGCAAAATAAGCTGGGGCTGGCCCTGTGGACTCGAATCGAGCTGTTCTACAACAGACCAACACAGCTACCCTCTGAAACTGTCCATATGAAGTCATAGGCTGATTCTGCATTGGCTTTTTCCTCTGTTGTTTTACAAAACCCACGTTGGGACAGAAATTCCCCTCTGCCTTGCATGCTGCTTTCACTTCCTTTGACCATCGGATTTTATGGTAGCCTCTGCACTCCATGCCGCTTTCGCTTTCTTTGATCACTGGATTTTTATTGTACATTCTGCATAGATTGATGGCCATTTTATGACCGTTCAAGGGTGACTTTGCAGTCAGTACGGCGTTACCCCGAGGTATCTGAATGTGGGTTTGACCGGCACTTTCCCCTCCCAGTTGAGAAAATGTGGAGCGAATGCTAGATGCAGAATCACCCATAGTAATCCTGAGCGTATGGAGAGCACCTTTCCTTTGCCACCAGCTAAACTTCACTCAGTTGGAGAGAATGGGTTTCAGGATACAGCCTTGATTTGCAGGCATGTGTAACCATCTGCTCCTCTGCCTTTATCTGCTCCTCTGGGTTTATCTGAGAGCTAGAGGTCACTTAGGTCTGGTTCACACGGGTAACAAAGGGGCAATGAAGTGGCAGAAGGGACTGCACCACTTCAGGTGGCAAGTAGCCGATTCCAGCTTTGAGTATTTTTGTGCATAAAAGAACCCATGGAAAGAGAACAATGTGGGGAATGGCTCTACTCCTTTGCTTGTCGTGCTCAGTTTCCACTTGCAAGGTGTTTCTAACCTAGGTGGGCACTTCAAAATATGATCCTCTACCTGCAGACTGAAGTGATGTAGCTCAGTTTACCGCCTCTCTGCTACCTCATTCCTCTGCATGTGTGAACCAGCTTCTTATTCCTTGTGGCAATGAGGTGGGGCCATGACTCAGGGGCAGAGCATCTGCTTTGCATGCAGAAGGTCCCAGGTTCAGCTCCCAGCCTCTCCACTTAAAAAAGGTGATGTGAAAGACTTCTGCCTGCGACCCTGGAGAGCAACTGCAAGTCAGAGTAGACAAGGCTGACCTCTGTACACTAATGAGCTGGCTTAGTATAAGACAACTGCGCATAAGGTAGATGTTGTTACATAATGGCTGCATTAAGAGGTCAGGAACAAACTTTGGTTTGTTCATGAAAAAAATGAACCTGGTTT